GTTTCAGGACCGCAGTTCTAGGACTGCAGTCCTAGGACCCTATTCTTTTGTAACCTACCGAATTGGATCACTAAAGATGGACGACATGAACAGCAATCAGAGTGAGTAACTTTACAGATTTTCAATTAAGTTTTATTTTATAACCTTAAAAGGATGCAAAGTTTACGTAGCCACCGTGAAAACGATGCAAAGTTTACGTAGCCAACGTGAGAACTGCTAAGAAATAATAATTAATTCCCGATTGCTAGTTTTATTGATTATTACGATGTTCTTAATTCGTGGCCATGATTTAATTAAGCTAAACCTTGTTGACATAATGACTACAATAAGTAAATCTAGCCAGCACATTAATTAAACTTAAAAAGATGATAAAAGCATGCTTACTGTATTAGTGTGAAAACTTGTTTGATACTCATTGTTTTAGCATATTAGTTAAATATAAATCATCTTTCATAATTAAACTGGGCTCCTTGCTTGGTTGCACCACAATATGTGTTATTAGCCTGTCCTTTTGGCAGTACTTTAGATTAATCTTGTTGATGTTTGAAAGGCATGGTCAGCGATTTGCCTTCTGGACTGATGAGGCCAGAAACTTGCTTCAAGAAACTCTTCAGCCAGTGTACAGAGTGCTATCTCAGAGGTAATCCACATTCAGGCTGTCGAATGCCACACTGCAGAGCTAAAGAGACTGGTGGACTTCATTGTAAAGTTACAGGGATCTGAGGAGCATTTAGTGGTACTTAAACAATGTTCACATTTAATCATCATTACAAACAAACTCATAGTAAAGGTTCACCAAGGACCTTAATTAGGAATAACATCAACAATATCTTTTAACTATGCTGCAAATGATTGTATCTTTATCTTACTGTAAATGTATCAATTTCCTCAAAATAACTGTTTTTGCACCATGGTTTGCCCATAGGGTGTACTCAACGGGAAGCCCTCTAAGTGGTCTCATAAGCTAACCTCTTCCCGAGTGCCTGTCTACCTCGACAGTGAGGAACAACTGTCCTGTTTGCCCGGACGCATTGACGTATCGCAGCAACGGCTCAAAGCGGCCAATGAGGCGTCTAGGTATTTATTATGTCTATTCGGTTGTTAAGTGGTGACGTAAGAAGCGCTGTTTCCGGGTCCAAGCCTCAACTCGCTTCACTTGAGAATACTACCTCAGCAGCCGTTTATGAGCACTGTTTATTCATATTAAACATTTAAGCTAAACATTTTCAAACTTACGGTCTACACTACAGTCTTTATGCTCACAGCGTCCCAAACACAAATCATTTTTATATTTATTTATTTATATTAATATTTTCATTGTCTGGCTATCTGGGATTTCGGTATGGAGTTAAAGGTTAGGATTATCATTTTTTTGGTATTTATTTATTTATATTTTCATTGTCTGGCTATATCTGGGATTTCGGTATGGAGTTAAAGGTTAGGATTATACATTTTTTTGGTAGTATTATATCACATTGTGAGTGTATATTAGCACTTTTAGTTTTTTTCTCGTGGTATCTGATAGAGCGTTTGGACACGGAAGCGGTGACACGTGACGTCAGACTTAACAAGCGGATGGCAGGAACACACTTCTCACCGGAAGTGGCGTTGCGACCTGCCGGTGTTACGAGATTTTCGGTTTCCGAGATTTTTGGTTTCAGTGGGCGGAGCATACATGAATATTCATGAGTTTTTATATATATATATATAAATAAAAAAAAGGTAAACATATTTACAGCGTTGCACAAACCTATGCCTAAACTACATTTGTTCATCATTTTGTAACAGTTTATAATGTTTTTATTAGTCTGCACATTTTGTGCAGTCGACACTGACTGAATGATTGCAGACATTCAGCACACTTAATCTAGTTGTATAAATTACTTTGATTTCAGTTTGTTTTGCTGTAGCTTGCAATGCTTTAAAACTATGTCTGTTGTTAGTTGTTATCATTTGAGTACAACAGCTGAAATAAACTTATATTTGTGGACTAATCGTTTTTCATCAATGGTGATTGTTCTTATACTGTTAGGCTTAGGCTATATTTACAAAATGAATAGGAATCTAAAACCACACACACAAGCATGGAAGTGTTCCTTTAATAAGTACAATTTTGGTTTAAACAAAATTGTATGGTCAAAAGTGTAAAAAGTAGCCTACATTTGGTACACTGTAAATGAGAAAACAAATACTTCACTGCATTTTACGGAATGGAATAAGCAATTTCATGTTAAAAAATAATTGTATTAACAAATGTTCGTAAGTGTGCTTGTGCTTGTTTTGATATGATATATACAAAATAATATACAATACTGTTCTAATGATTTGTATTAGTAAGGTTCTTTGTTCATGTTCACCAACTGCATTTAGGCTATCAGATAAAAAATCAACCCTCTACGGACACCTTGGCAATTGAATCGCCATTGGCTAGTAATTTTTTTAGTTTACTCGCCAGACTGATTATACAGGTGCATCTCAATAAATTAGAATGTCGTGTAAAAGTTAATTTATTTCAGTAATTCAACTCAAATTGTGAAACTCGTGTATTAAATAAATTAAATAAATACAGACTGAAGTAGTTTAAGTCTTTGGTTCTTTTAATTGTGATGATTTTGGCTCACATTTAACAAAAACACATAAGATAATAATGATACGAATTCTATTAATAAGGATTTAAATTTAAAACGCACTAAGGATTAATGAGCTGCTGAAATCATGAATATTAATCCGGTTGTGTGTGTTGGCTCGAACTGATTTGCTGAAATCAAAACAGGGACGATAATAGATGAGCGCCAGCCAATGAGATTGCCGTTTGCGCATTAGTTCCTCCCACTACCGGAAAACCCGGCAGTTCTTAAAAGCTAAAGAATTCCAAAGAAGGAGCACTGTTATTTTGACAAGAAAATGCAATAAAGAATACCGTTTATATGTAGCGCGTCAATTCTCTCTCTCTCTCTCTCTGCGTGTGTGTGAGACAGTGTCGGCGAGTTGTGAG